CCCAGAGACGCCCCTGCTCAGGTCTGCAGTGAGCGAACAGGTGGGCATCTGTCACCTAAGAGACACAGGAGACCCCGGCCTGTTCACAGGAGCTCTGAAGGCCTCCTCAGGGCACCTCCTTCGCGGCATTGGCTTTAGGAGGAGACGGAACACAATTAACTTCCACACGTAGGCGGCAGGGCTCTGGGGGGGAGAGGCACAAGGAAGAATAAAACCCTCCGCGAAACCCCAAGACAGGCGATTCTCTGGAGAATTTCTGAACTTTCAGATTTTCCAGTAGGGCCAGTTAAGAGGGTTTTTTGTTTTTTTTTTAACTCAATGGGATAACAACAAAGAAATCTCTCTTGAGACAAGTTTGCCTCTGTCTGCAGGGGAGGCTCTGGGCTTGCAATGGACAGTCTTTGTTAGACTGTGTTTGGGTTCCGTTCATTTATGGTTACACATGACCCCCTAATTTTACTCCTTGGTGGCTTTGTATCTACCTACCTACCTACCTAATATAGAACATTACCTACGTAAGTATTTATCTATTTATCTATCCACCTACCTATCTACCTACCTACATATATACCTACCTATGTGTGTGTATATCTATCTACCTACCTATCTACCTACGTACCTACCTATGTATGTGTATCTATATATCTATGTATCTACCTATCTACCTACCTACCTACGTACCTACCTAGGTATGTCTGTGTGTCTATCACCTATCTATCTATCTATCTATCTATCTATCTACCTACCTACCTACCTACCTACGTATCTACCTATGTATGTGTGTGTATCTATATATCTATGTATCTACCTATCTACCTACCAATCTACACCTGTGCCTGTCTATCTACCTTCCTATCTACCTACCTACATGTGTATCTATCTATATATCTATGTGCCTTATATCTATCTATGTGCCTATGTATCTATCTACCTATCTACCTATGTATATATGTGTGATGTATGTATGTATCTCTCTACCTACCACCTACCTGCTTATCTGCTTAGATTTATACTTATAAAAACATATTCTCTCTTGCTTCATGGAGAAAATTGCCCCTATCTTTTATATGTCCTCAATTATCTCATATTTATAGTGCTTCTCTGTAGTGTTTAAAGGATAGTAAAAACCTATGAACACGCTAGCATGTTTTCTTTGGAACATTTAAAGAATAATGTAGAACATTACCTGGTGGACTTTAAAGTCACAAGCCTGGGGGCAGGGGGCTGGGGGAGAATCAGGCCGTAAGTGAAGGTGCCGTGTGAGTCGATAAAGTTACAATCATAGCCCATGGGATTTTATACACCCATGACTCCGTCCGCAAAACCCACGCAGGTAACACGTAACAGGCTGCCGGCGCCTGTGGTCGGAAAGCCTAATGTTTTCACAATAAACGAGGTTCCCTGTGCTGTTTTAAGGTCTTCATTTCTAGTGACTATAAACCTCTGGTTTAAGTGGAAATCTTATACTGGTTAGAAGTCTTAACGTTAGAAAATCTTACAGCTACAATGCAAGTGTTGGCACTGTCGGCTAGCCAAGGGTTTCAATAAGACCTGCTCATTCCATAACATCTGCACGTTAAATTCCTTCACTATAAGACGTAAAACTGATAAACCAACCTAAGTCCCACCGCTTCCAGTCTCGGCTATGGATTTTGTTTGCATTTCAACACACGCCATCCCAGGCCCTGTAATACAGTATCAGAAGCACTTTGCAAACAGGAGAACCTTTTCAGAGGCATGCACGCATGCCATTGATAGCTAACCGTCTGCACGCCATAAGCCTCTACAGACACAAGCAGCGGACCTTTATTAATTCCATTCAAAATATAGTGGCCGTTAACTGGTTAAAAACTTGCTCTCTGGTTTTCCAATAAATACCCGGTGTCCAAAGAAATAAAGACAATGACAGGCTATGCCTGGGTTTCTAACGGCACTACTCCCTGCTGTTTTGCAGCCTAATTAATCTCCCCATTTTGAAATGCCCGAAGGACTAAATCTTGTATCTTGACAATTCTTCAGTTGAACACACTTGTCGTCGCAGGATTCAGAAGGCAGATGCCAGGGAATGAAACTTGACTGACAACAGGGGAACAGCCCTCCCGCGGGTCAGCGCTCGCAGAATCCCTGTCGTGCTCACAGTCACGCCTAGCAGCCTCTTCCTCTCGGGGAGAAACAACGGAGGCGTTTTCAACAGGTCAGAACGTCCTACAAAAATGCTGGGAAAGTATTCCAGGGTCACGCCTGGTTCCGTTGCTTCGTTCCTATGTCCCCGGGGGAGGGAAATGTGTCCAGACCTCTGAAGAACGAATCCAGCTTGTGAAATGCTGGTTGCTTGTCTCTTTCATCAGGTCTGATACCTCCCCTATTTCTACAAGGAGAGGAAGAGGCAGAGAGAAAACGTCACCACTCTGCCAAGGCTGACCAGGAACCTGGTGTTGTGCTGCTGAAAGCACACAGTAGGTGCTCAATACACCGGCTGGTAGATATCGGTGACCTTGCAAGGCTTCCAGATGTAAAAATGCAAAGGCCCTGGCCGGTTTGGTTCAGTGGATAGATCGTCAGCCTGAGGACCAAAGGATCCCAGGTTTGGTTCCGGTCAAGGGCACATACCTTGGTTGTAGGCTCCTTCCCAGCCCGGGGCCCTGGCCAGGGCTTGTGCAGGAGGCAACCAACCAATTGATGTGTTTCTCTCACATCAGTGTTTCTCTCTATCTTTCCCTCTCTCTAAAAAAATCAATGGGGAAAAAAATCCTCAGGTGAGGATGAAAATACAAACAAAAAAGTGCAAAGGTTGCCCGGCCGGCATAGCTTAGTGGTTGAGTGTCAAACACTATGAACCAGGAGGTCACGGTTCGATTCCCAGTCAGGACACGTGCCCGGATTGCAGGCTCTATTCCCAGTGGGGGCGTGCAGGAGGCAGCCGATCAATGATTCTCTCTCATCATTGATGTTTCTGTCCCTCTCTCCCTTTCCCTTCCTCTCTAAATCAATAAAAATATATTTTAAAAAATACAAAGGTGGGCCTTCCGACCTCATGCTGACCCAGTTGCCATTGACTGTTGGCATCAACTATTTACATGATTTAACTGAACGGAAGCTCAGGGAGTGACGCGAATACTCTAAACCAGGGGTCCTCAAACTTTTTAAACAGGGGGCCAGTTCACTGTCCCTCAGACCGTTGGAGGGCCGGACTATAGTTTTAAAAAAAACTATGAACAAATTCCTATGCACACTGCACATATCTTATTTTGAAGTAAAAAAACAAAATGGGAACAAATACAATATTTGTATTTGCATGTGGCCCGTGGGCCGTAGTTTGAGGACCCCTGCTCTAAACAGTCAGACGTTACTGATACGGGCCGCAGTCGGCTCGCTCTGCGGGATTCAGGAAAGCTGTGCCAAGCCAACTAATTCCGCAAACAGAGTTTTGGAGACGGATGCTCTCAGGACTGAGAGGACATGTTCCCTCGGAGCCCCTCCCACGGAAGCAGCACATGCTGTTTACACATGACTCATTTCTGCGTGAAAGCGGGTCCCCTCAGCACCCCTAGGAGTTGAAATGCTAATCCTGGGATGTTTAATACATCCCATCCCAGTAAGTACCCATCCCATCCAAGGATCCACCATCGCCCCAAAATGTTCACATGTATTCTTATCTTAAGGCGGCCAAAAACTAGAGATTTATTCTTTCTCTCCGTATACCTTGCTGTGGTGTTCAAAGTCTTTCCGTGAACAGGTGTCATCTCTATAATCGGAAAAATATAGACTTTTACATGAAAAAAATCTAATTAAATGTGTTTTTCTTTTCAAGGATAAGCAAACTGATCTTAGTAAGAATGTATTTTATTCTGTATTTACTGAACCTTCAAACACACCCCTGGAAAATGGTAAAGGAAGAAGGTCAGACACGGAAGGTTCTTTTTCTAAAACTAGGATTTCCAACTCCCTTTCTTATTTTTTTAAAAATTGAATGTATTGGGGTGACATTGGTCAACATGAACATACAGGCTTCAGATGTGGGTTTCTATGTTACAAGATCTGTATTTTGCACCGTGTGCCCACCACCCAGAGTCAAACTGTCTCCTGTCACCTCATATTAGGGTCCCCTGATCCTCCCACCCCCTTCCCTCTGGCAACCGCCACTCTGCTGTTTGTGTCCACAAGTTTCAGTCTTATAGCCCACGTGAGTGAAAGCATATGGTTCTTAGCTTTTTCTGACTGACTTATTTCACTTAGCATGATCTTCTCAAGGTCCGTCCAAGGTGTTGCAAATGGCCGTATTTCCTCCTTTCTTGTGGCTGAGTCGTATTCCCTTGTGTACATGGACCACATCCTTAGACACTGAATTCCATCCCCAGGATGCCGCAGTGGATGCCTCAGTCCCAGCACGCACTTTAAATTGCACTGTGGGTCAGTAGGAAGCCACTGTGCACGTGGGGGATTCTGCAGCGTTTCTCTTCACGCCAGAACACCCCCCACCCCCGCTGGAGGGGAATGAGGCTCTGTGTGCTGGGCCCAGTGTTCACACTCAGGTCTGCTGAACCCCAGGTGCAACCACAGCTGCGCGCGTCTCTTCCCGCCGTAAACACACGGCCTCCAAAAATCCAGTCGCCGCATCATTCTTTTTGTTGTTTATCCTCACCCATTGGATATTTTTATCCTCACACAAGGATATTTTCCCATTGATTTTTTTAGAGAGAATGGATGGAAGAGAGGACTGCAGGAGAGAGAGAGGGAAAGGGAGAAAGAGAGAGAAAGAGAGAGAGAGAGAGAGAGAGAAAGAGAGAGAGAAACATCGATGTAACAGAGACACATCAATTGATTGCCTCTTGCACACACCCCAACTGAGGCCAGGGATGGAGCCTGCAACCACGGTCCGTGTCCTTGACCGGGAATCACACCCGAGACCCTTCGGTCCACAGGCCAATGCCCTAAGCACTGAGCCACACCGGCCCGGGGCCACGTCATTCTTAACGTGCGTTTCAGACTTTGCACCCTACCTGTACTGAGGGGAAGGGTTGCCTCTTGCTTCGCAGTTGAAAGTGACTCTCTTGTCCTCAGCACCGACGGGGACCATGCTGTCGCTGGGCTCGCTGACGAACACGGGGCCGTGTAAGAGCAGCTCACCTGTGGGCGGGAGACAGCGAGGGTGGCCAGGGTGAGTGGGGGGTGGTAAACGCTGCGTTCCAGCGACTCTCCTCTGCCCCGAGAAGCCCCGGGCTGACCACGCAGGCACCGCCGGGGTGGTGGACAAGCTACTGCCCATCACCTGGTCTCAGAGCCGGAGGTGGAAGCCAGCGCCGCCTGCCACGGGCTGGCCGGTACCCACCACATAACACGGGCTCCCTGGCATCGGGGTCTGGAGTCTGGAGGTTGCTCTATAAGGACCTTTACCAAAATCTTTTTAAAATGGGGAAAAGAACACATTGGTACCCTGTACATAATGTATCATATTAATCCAAGCTTTTTGGCAACATATTCCGAGAATCAAGTTGGCATTTCAATTTTCTAATAAAGTCTTAATATTTTAGTAAAATGGATACTGCTTTTTCATAAATTCATTCATAAACATATGCAAGATTTTTCAAAAAATGCTAAGATTAATTCAAGTTGCACATTGTACAAAATTACAACTCAGCCTTTAAACCTTTAGGGACTGAGCTTTCTTTTTAGCGATACCTCCCCTTCCTGAGTATAACTTCCTATTTCCAATTAACTGGGAAATTTCGAGGTTGTTCTATAAAAATTGAGTCATGAATAATATCATCACTGTGGTGCCTTCACTTTCATCTTCCTCCTCCTCCAACAGAACTCAAATGGAGACTTTGTACATGAAGAATATAATCCAAGAAGAACAACTGTTTGATATCTACATTGCATTTTCTTCAAAGATCACTTAAATAGGCAGAAATCTGGAAATAATTACTCCTTTCCCCCTATGGGCTAGATGAGTAGTTGTTTTAGGAACAACACTGAGGTGTCACGTGGAAAAACCTGTTTAAAAAAAAAAACTTTAACGTAAAAGTTGAAGGTTTTTTGTTTCATTAAAATATTTGAAGGATGTTTAAAGTTTGATATAAAGGCTCAAAAGTCTACTTCCGGTAACGTGTGTTTTACCGGACGACGCGTTTGGCCTCATTACACAGCGATGCCCTCGTCTAGGCAGGAAACCGGGCAGCGTTGGCTCAGCTCCCGTTTCACCAGGAAATTGTGTTTATGGAGAAAATTGGTCTTCTCAGGAGATGGATGCTGGAATTTTCAGAGGTGAGAGGCGATGACTTCCGTAACTTACTTTCAAAGGGTTGAGCTGATCAATCAATCAATCAACAGAAAAAATACATCCACGTATGTTCACCAATAGAACAAATACAGTGAAACGGCCCAGCAGTTCCATCTAAATGGTGCATGTGTGGGTGTTCATTATACTATTCTTTCAACTTTATAGGTGCTGGAGAATTTTCACAAGAAGAAGAATAAACATTTTGAAAAACCTATGCATTATACATATACTAATTTTTTTTAAAAGTCTTCTCTTACTTATCCATTCCTTCAGAAAACAAAACGAACAAAAGAAATACATCAAGTGATCTATAAGAGCTGTTTTGTATGGTAGATGTCTGAGAAATCATTCCTTTTTCTTTCTGTTTTGTTCTGAACTTCAAATTTTCCAAATTAACAAATAAAAAGCCCATGTTTATTTTGCTCCCTGAAATAATTTACCTGCTAAAAGGAAACTGTTGTTTTCAAGACATAAAAATACTGGTGTTAAAATTTATATTTGCTCATTACTCTAGAGATTATAACTTTTAGCTCCTTTTGGAAAAAAATATTCATGAACTAACATCTGCAAATTCTGATTAACTGTTGCATTCGTCTGCTACAGGAGACTCATGAGGTAAGAAGGCATAAAACATTGGGCCAAAATTAGGGACTGAAATGAGAATCTGACAGTCAGAAGAGTGTCTGAATTTTTTGAAAAAACCAAACAACAACAATAACAACAAAAACTGTTCTTCCTTGCTACTGGAGGAGTATTACTCCACAGTTTAAAAATTATTGAATATATGACTCAAGTATATTTCTAACCTCAACTTGGAAAATACAGCTTAGTTTTACCTACCTCCTAGGCAGCCAATGAATGACAGCAGGACCAGCTGTTTCCATGACAACAGCATCTTTAATTGCCCACAGGGAGGAACTCTGGTCCAGTCTCTGATGAACAGGGTGGTTTGTCTTCAGGTAAACCCTTAATCTGTGAAATATATGTACAAAGAAGTTAGGCTTGAAAAAAATGAATTGCCTTTATAAATACATTTCCTTATTCTCCTAAAACTGTATGCCACTCAAAATCCTCAAAGGAAATGCATCTTTTTGGATGCAAAAGAGAAGATGTATGAAATGTAGAGACATTAAAAAAAAACACACACTCTATGTAACTGAGAGGCAGATGGAAGTGGCCTCATAAAATCAGAACTGTTCAACACTAAAAATATTAAACATTAATGTTAAGTGTTAAAACACTGGCGAGATAATAATTACAGCACTTATAACCCTGGCATTCCAACTTTTCTCATTTTCTCCGATGATGACATGCTGCTAAGACTACGAGGGTCTCGGGACCAGACACCTCACAGCACCGGTTATCTGGGCCCCCGGGTCCATGACGAGGAGCGTCAATTATAAACGGCAGGACCGAGGCTCGCCTCCAGGGCGGCGCGCTCAGGACAAGCGCAGAGAGCGTGCTGCCGAGCACAGACCCAAAACGCTCGTGGTGGGAACTACGGAGCCTGAGAGTCTTGCAAGTGAAACGATTTTCTTGTTTATCTTCTTTAATTTTCCTCAACTGAAACGGGCTGGTAGAGAGGAAATAATTATGTGAACATCCTGCGTCATGTTCAGCAGCCAACAAACACTCGTTAACCTGCGTGGTGAGAGGTCAAGCCGAATGGCCGCACACCTGGGGCCCTGTTCCGACGGCCGACAGCGGCCCATGCTGGCGGGAGGACGCACGGCTGGGCCTGGGCAGCGGCTGGGCCTGGGCCGAATTCGCTGTCGCTGAGCCAGGGTGAGGAATCCCAGCTTAAATGTGGATTTGGCAAGTGAGCGATGTCATCAATCTAAACTGTGTCCCGACCATTAAAAAAGTGAAAATATCACAACGCCCAAGTCATGTTCTTACACTGATAGGCTAAGCCCGCCGTTCCCATGGCGATGCTGCGACCTAATGTATGTGGGAGGCGGCGCTGGGGCTGGGACGGTGGAGTGGATGCCAGATTTGGCAGCACTGACTCTGCCCCTGAGAACCTGGAACCACCAACATGCAGCTGACAACCACTGTCCCAGGAATTGGATCTGTGGCCATTCTTCACCATCCAGCTCTGCAAAGGCCATGACACCATCCACCACTGCAAAGGCCATGACACCATCCACCACTGCAAAGGGCACACTCGCCATCCACCACTGCAAAGGGCACACTCACCATCCGCCACTGCAAAGGGCATGCACACTCGCCATCCACCACTGCAAAGGGCACACTCACCATCCACCACTGCAAAGGGCACACTCGCCATCCACCACTGCAAAGGGCATGATGCCATCCACCACTGCAAAGGGCATGATGCCATCACCACTGCAAAGGGCAGGACGCCATCCACCACTGCAAAGGGCATGACGCCATCACCACTGCAAAGGGCACGCTCACACATACACGTAAACACATGCATGCATACAGCTGCAAACGCTGCAAAATGAATTCAGGTGTTGCCGTTTCCCCGGCAGGTGAAGGACAAAAACAGTCGAGGGTGAGAGGGGGAGGGAGGCAGCCGATATGGGTGAGACAAGCCACCAAACTGGGTGTGACTCCAGCTTAACCCGGAGTCACCCAAGGCTGTCCCGAGCTGCCCGCATAATCCCTGTCATGGGGGCAGGGCCGGGGGCTCCACACACCACCTCCCACTCGTCACCGTGTGGAGGCCGTTCCCGGGGCATCACTGCCCAGCACGTCCAGCCGCTCGCTGGGCAGCAACGTGACTCCCCAGCCCAGCAGTGAGCTCAGGTAAGGAAGGGGCAGGGAGTGAGAGGGCGCGGCTGCATCTGCCACAGGACGCACCGGAAACAGCTTTGGGAGCCACGTGCATGGCGTCTGTCCCAGAGACCGACGCCGAGATGACCGAGTGATCCCAGTACACGGGGTGGGGTGGGGGCGCCCTCTCCACCTCACTCACTCAGCCCTGGGTTCCCAGGCCTCCGCCCTGGCTGGCGCCTCCTCTGTGGCCTGGAAGCTTTCAGACCCGCCTGCCTCCCTCTATTTCTGCTCAGTCAGCGACACCGTCTGTGTCCACAATTATTTTCAATTACAAACCCGAATGCTGACCCAAATCATTCTGGATTAAGCTGATAACTGACAATCCATAACCACCACACCCTCCTTCTGATCATGTCTGTGAGGAAGCTGTAGTCCAGAAATCATGAGCTCACACACACACACACACACACACACACGCACAATGGACACAGGTGCACATGCATGCATGTGCACATGTGCAGATGCACACACATATGCGTGCACACACACGTGGACACCTATGCACATGCGCACACACAATAGAAAAGCAATATTTATTTAGCCATGAACTTGAAATTACTTCAGAAAAAAATGTAAGACATTATTAAAAGGATGATAACACTGTTATCTTCCCAACAATGCACCCCAGGTTCCGTGTGTGTGTTACACTTTAAACGTGTAAATGTATTCGAAGACGTTCTCAAGTCTTTTTGAAAATCCATGTGATCAATACATACTATTGAGCAGCTGCTATGAGGTGTCAGGTTGTCATCCTGGAGGGCGGTGGGGTAGGGGGTGTCGGGTCACGGACCAGCCCCGCCCGAGTGGACTCTATGAACGAGGGGGAGGGGCACACGATCCACGTCAGCGCCAAGTCGCCGTGAACGGGCCACCGGCAGGGACAGTGACAGGGAGAGGTTTCCCTGGAGCCTTGGGGGCAGGGGGAGGCCCCCCCGGAAGGTCAGGGGCTCCTCTGAGGAGGCGAGCAGATGGCGGGAAGGCGGAGATGCATAACCGACGTGTGATGTGTGTGCTGAGGGGAGAAGGGGGAGCACCCTTCCGGGTGTGGACACAGACCAGGTGTCGCCCTGAACTGGACTCAGGCTGGCCACCTCCCTGCCCTCCTGGGCTGCTCAGACCCTACCCCTGCCCCTCGACCCACCACCTCAGGGCGAATGCCTGGCTAGCAGGAGTTCCAGAATCCTGCTCTCTGATTGGTCCGTGCCCACGACCTACCTATAGGTCAATATTTCAGCAAAGTGACTTAGGTGCTGACGGCTTGTGGCAAGAGCAGAAGGAAGGCCCACAGGAGAGGCTGCCGATGGCGAAGGTGGGTGTGAAGGAAATGAGGCTGCAGGTGTACAATGGGGGGCCCTCAGATGTCGGGCTAAGGATGCTGGTCTCAGGACAAAGCCCGGGAAAAGCCATCGCGTTTGGAAACAGGAGTTGACACGATCAGATTCGCAAGGGGAGGGCATTCAAATCAGACGCCTTATATCTGTACCAGGCGTAAAAGGATAAAAAGAAAACACATTTTCCAAACACACCCACTTTATCTTTCCCTTCGAATTCACAGACTCCCAGGCTAGAAAATACTAGGCAAACTGTCTGATATAAGAGAGGGAATACGGATATTCTAATATTCCCATAGAGGCGAGCGCACGGGCATACACTCTATAATAAAGTTTGAAGATAAAAAAGTAACTCATTCAGGAATATTCCGTTTAAAAATTACGTTGCTCCTTTCGTCAACGCTAAGTAGGGCACTGACGTGATAAATAACGAAGGCGACGAACCCAATCAGGACCCGGTGTGTCTCCGAGCTGCCAAGAACCGTCGCAGAGCGAGGGGACGCGGCCCGCTCCCGAGACCACCGAGCCCAAGTAATGACAAAGGAAGCCAAAGAGCAAGACAAACCCAAATCAAACGCCATCCGCTCTCGCCGTGTTCACGGGGATGTCTCACATCAAAGGAAAGCTAGACGATACCCTTCACAATTTCCTCTGCCGACAGACAGCTGCATCTGGGGCCAAAAGCGCACGATATTCACCACACGTTGCTGGGGGCGTCTTTAAATAGCTCCCCCAGTTAGTGCGTATTGACCCCCGTCCTGTCTCTTCTTAATGTCAGTCAGCTGAGGGCCCAGAACTGCCAGACCTTGGACCCCAAACCAAAAACGGCTCGAGAGTAGTTCCTGCGTTTTGCTCTAAGAGACCATTTGCGGCTGTCGTCACATGCATTATGAGATGCCGCGAAGGTAACAGGTCGTGAAATATTGATACGCATTTGTAATATTAAACGTCTGTGGACAACGCTGAGCGCCGCCTTGGCCAGCGCGCGGGGCCGCTTCCTGTCCGGGGAAGTTCGGTTCAGCTGTTTGGTTGAGTGTGGCTCTGTTTCCATCAGACTCACAGGCACCCGATGCGAGTCTCCTCTTCAGAGGCAAACAGGACAGAGATTCGAGCAGAAGGATGGCTTCGCGCATGCCTCAGAGCCACAGTCACCTCCAGCTTCGATGGTGGAGAAACAAACGCCGTTCTTGGATTTACACTGCTCCCACGTCCCCACCACCAGCGCCCACTGTTTTGCAAGCATCTCTCTCAGATCCATGTCTCTCTCTCTCTCAGATCCATGTCTCTCTTTCTCTCTCTCTCTCTCTCTCTCTCTCTCCCCCCCCCCCTTTCTCTCTCTAAAAATCAATAAAAATGCATATCCCAGGGAGGATTAGAACAAAAAGTAACTTGTACTCTAAAAAAAATAGTACAGAAACCATGGGAGGCGGAATAAATTGTGGTTAAACATGGTGTATATATGTACATGTGTGTACACATGTATGTGGCATAGATACATATGTGCTCACACACCGTTGTATAACCTTGGGCAAGTTACTTGTTCCTTGAACCTCCTTTGCCCCAGCCCTCAGTTTCACACCTGCAGAGCGGGGGGAGTGTGTGCATAGGTGCTTTACTATAAGAAGAAGGACTGTGACTGTGTGCTGAGCCGGCTCCCTGGACGGAGAGAGGACAGTTGCCACGACTGCTATGCAGAAATTAAATATGATGGGCACCTGACTGGTGATAAATAAGACTTCAATGGAGGAGGCACTTAAAGGCAGGTCTCCAACTCATTTTAAAGCGACACCAGCTGCGCCCAACACTTGTTCTGCTTAACTGTGTGTTTTTTAA